GTCTGAGATTCTATTTTCTGTATGATCTAGTCTGCTTTTAATACTTTCAAGGGAGATTTTGACTTCCTGTATTATAGCCTTCATCTGTAACAGGTCCGTTTGATTCTTTTTTATAGTGCGTATTTCCTCTTTTAGATCAGAATAGATTTATTTTGATCTGTGGAATATTTTTGAAATAAAATGCTGAGCGACTTTATTAACCAAGGTATCTGAAGTAGTCAAAGTCATAGAAGCAGTTGACGGAATGGTGCTTGCCAGGGATTTGGTGAAAGGGGGAAACATAGTTGTTTTTCTTTAAAAGAATTACTTATTTTATTAATTAATTTATAGAGAGAGGAGAGAGAGAGAGGAGAGAGAGAGAAAGGAAGAGAGAGAGAGAGAGAGAGAGAGAGACTGAGGAGAGAGAGAGAGAGCCACCAGGTCCAGGTCTTGAACTGCAATCAACCATGTGGGACTCCAGCACCTTAACCAGCATGACACCTGCTGACCCAGAGTTGTTTTTCAAAGAATATAAAGATAGTGCTACTGGGACAACTGATGGTGTGGTGGTTAAGTTGGCTGGACTGCACATGGTCAGCTCCCAGTTAAAGTCCCAGACCTGGTACTTTGAAAAACAGTCAGGAATGTGAACATGCACTCCCAACATCCTGAAAGAAGAGAGTATTGTATTATGGCCATTCCCCATGGAGGACGATTTCTCACTTTTCCTTTCTCTCTGTCTCTGTCTGGTGAGTGCCTATGCCTAATAGTAAAGCTAAAACAAAACAAAATTCCATTGTAACATCACATTTTCCTTCATAAATATAAACTATTATTTTTGTTAATAAATAAATTAAAAATCCTATAGAATACATGATCTATAGGAACAAAGAAGTGAGATAAGAAGTCTTAAGTAGAAATGGCACTACGAAAGCCTGAAGCAAATTAGATCTATATAAAAATATAAAAAATAACTTTGTGACTGCAAACTATTAACTATGGCAATAGCAAGTTCAGCTGATATATAAATATCTGTGAACAAATGTATGACTTTAGGCATGAAACTGTGAGTAGACTGAATATCCTGTAAAGTAGCACCTAACTGAGGCTATATAGGTTACTGTGGTCATTAAAAAGGTATTTTAAATATGTTTTTTTTATTTCAAGAAAGCCAGTTTTAGCTTTAATAAGTCAAAAGAAAAACATGTTAAGAGACATGTTAAGAGAACTCCAAAGTACTTTGTCACAATCATCATGAAGCCAAGGATTATAGAACTACATATGATTTTGCAGCATGTGAACATAGTTCTCTCCCTTGCTGAAAAGGCAATACGATCAGTTTCTGGAGATACCAACAGCTGTGTCTCTACCACAGTCTATGCTTTGGGAATCAAAGGGGCATATAGGGATACATTCCTCAGTTAGATTCGGAAGAATTTTATCATTTGTTATTTACATTCCATCATTGTACATTTCTATAGTATACAATATTTTTCAAGACATACGCTTGCAGTATGGGACAGTAATTTTGCAATTTTGTTTTAGTTTTTGCAATAGGGCACATGCATTTACCAAGAGAGATGGAGAAACAGAGAAAGAGAAAGAAGGCAGTGAGAACTCAACTCCAAGGCCAGAGCTATGCTGTATTCACTATTCCTCTAGTTTCCTCTCAGGATTTTGGAAACACACGGACACGTGCCCAGTGATGTTCAAGCCACTGGGTCCATGACTTGAACCTTGCATTTAGCTAAGTGAGATCTAGCACCTTAACCTCCATGCTCCCTGCTGACCTGTGATAATTAAATTTTAACTCATGATTGGTTAAAGGTGATAATGACCTTTGGAGGCAGGAGAGTTCCCAGAGAACATATAGAAAAGACTGATTTCATCACACTGTCATCTTGGTCTCTCGAGAGCAGCAAATCAGTAGGAAAATGTTCTTTTCTTTCCAGACCAGTGTCCATGAGGGAAATCAGGTACTAAATGGTTGTAGTTATAAGGAGGAAATAAGCAGACATACTTAACAAACAGGCATAGGTAACTGTAAATATTTAATCTGTTATTGTCCCTCAAGGAGTACAGTCTCAGTATGGACAAGACATGGTTGATTTTTCTGGAATCTCCAGACTGGCTAGGGGGCCATTCTTAGTTCTCTCATTGTGTTTTATCTGCGGACAGAAATGCAATATCCATCACCAACTATCCAGGGAGGAATTCATCCTTCCACAAGAAGAAAGCTCATAAAGGTGAGTCTGAGAGCCTGGTAGGTATTGCAGGATCTGTTCAGAGAGAATAGATGTCAAGGACATCTACCTGAGATCACCTGAGGGTGAAACCAGCCTAGCAAGAGCCAAGAGACTGATGTGTTTGGTTACTTGTCCAACTAGTTTATTTTTCTTTAATTTAGTTAATATGTTAACAAGCCATGTGTCAGTCACTTAGCAATGCAGGTCCTATTGTGGACAATCTAGTGATGGGAATAGACATCCACTTGGATGAGGGTGAAGAAGGAATGGGAGAAATAAAATGATTTCAGTAAAATTAGAACATGTGCACAGAAATTTGCAGTTAAATAGTAGAAAGAATCAGAGTTGTGATGAGATGTGCAATGACTTTCGGGTCTCTAAGTTATCTTAAGTAGTTCAAGTCATAGAAGCAGACAACAAAATGGTGTTTGAAAGGGACTGCTAAAAGGAGGAATCTGAATTGTCTTCCTTTTTGAGAGGAATTATTTTAATTTAATTATAATTGTATTATTATTCAACTTGAACAAAGAGAAAGAAAGAGAGAAAGCCCCAGCCAGGTCTGGGACTCGAAACACAATTGGCCATGTGGGAGTCCAACACCTTAACCACCATGCCACCTGCTAGCCCTAGAATTGTGTTTCTATGTATATAATGATACAGTTATTGGGCCAGCTGTTGGTGTGGTGGGTAAGGTAGCTGTATCACACATGGTTGATGGCCAGTTAAAGTCCCAGACCTGACCACTTGAAAAAAATGGCAGGCATGTGTACATGTACTCTCTCTCTCTCTCTTTTTTTTGGAGAGGTTTTTGCTATAGGGTGCGTGTGCTCGCCAGACAGACAGAGAGAGTCAGAGAGACAGAAAGAGAGAAATCACCCCCCAGGGGGGATGGCCACGCCACAACCCCTTCTCCTCCATTCTCCTCTTGGGATCTTGGGCACGTATGCACATGCGCCTGGCGTGAGTTTAAGCCACTGGGTCCAGAACGCGAACCGAGGTTGACTACATGGGAGTCCAGCGACATAGCCATTACGCTAACTGCTGGTCCCTGTACATGCACTCTCAACATCCTAAAGGAAGAGAGTATTATGGCATGGTCCTTCCTCTTGGTGGATGAATTCATACTTTCCCTCTCACTCTGTGTCTGTCCGGTGAGTGCATGAGTCAATAGCACAATTAAAGCAAAACAAAACCATAAACCAAACAAAGTCCCATTGTAACATCTCATTTTACTTCATAAATATGGACTATAATTTTTGGTCAATAAATAAATTAGTTGAAAATCCTGTAGAATACATGATCTATGGGAACAAAGAAGGGAGATAAGAAGTCCTAAGCAGAGATGGCACTAAGAGAGCCTAAAGTAGATTGGAGCCATACAAAAATATAAAAAAATAAATTTGTGAGGGCAAAATATCAACTGGGAATTTCACCTATATTAATAATACTTGTTCACATGAAATTAGTCATCTTATTTTCCTCTTTTCAGGTAGTCATCATGGAAGCAGAAAATGGTACACAAATTTCAGAATTTCTTCTTCTGGGACTTTCAGGACCCCTCCTATTTGGGCTTTTTCTCTCCATGTACCTGATCACTGTGTGTGGAAACCTACTCATCATCCTGGCCACCATCTCAGCCTCCCACCTGCACACCCCCATGTACTTCTTCCTCTCCAACCTGTCCTTTGCTGACATCTGTTTCACCTCTACCACCGTACCAAAGATGCTGGTGAACATCCAGACACAGAGCAAGGTCATCACCTATGCAGGCTGCATCACCCAGGTGTTCTTTTACATAGTTTTTGCAGTGGTAGATGACATTCTCCTGACTGTGATGGCCTATGACAGGTATGTGGCCATCTGTCACCCTCTGCACTACATGGTCATCATGAACCCCTGGCTCTGTGGAAAGCTGGTTCTGGCTTCATGGACCATGAGTGTCTTGTATTCCTTGTTGCATAGCTTAATGACATTGCGGCTGTCCTTCTGTACACATGCGGAAATCCCCCACTTTTTCTGTGAACTCAATCAGGTGGTCCACCTTGCCTGCTCTGACCCCTTTCTTAATGATATGGTGATCTATTTTGCATCTGTGCTGCTGGGTGTTGGTCCCCTCACTGGGATCCTTTACACTTACTGTAAGATAGTTTCCTCCATTCGTGCCATCTCATCAACTCAGGGGAAGCACAAAGCATTTTCCACCTGTGCCTCTCACCTCTCAGTTGTCTCCTTATTTTACTGTACAGGCATGGGTGTGTACCTTAGTGCTGGTGCTGTCCACAGCTCACACTCAAGTGCAGCAGCCTCGGTGCTGTACACTGTGGTCACCCCCATGCTGAACCCCTTCATCTACAGTCTGAGGAATAAAGACATAAAGAGGGCCCTGAAAA